ATTGCCGGGAACGGTAAGCGGTGATGATGACTGTGTTCTGAACCCTCGAGGAAATACTTCTCGATGCTGCTGCAATTGTCTTCTGCCGTGTTCTGTGGAACTTGGTTCAGAACATGAGTTGGGCTGCTACTTTGAATCGTTTTCTGATATGGTTTCGAGTTCATTTTACTCTTCCGGTTTTGAGTTCATTGACCCTCTTTTTCTCCTTTCAGAACTGATACTGATGCTGTTGAGTCAAACGCTGCCGAGGATGGTCACATGGTGATGATGACCACTGGTCTGAACCCTCTGCGTTACTTCTGATTTGATTTTCCAATTTTCAGGTGCTGAACTGTGATTATGATGCGTATGTCCCGTAGTTCGATGTTTGGTAGGGAAGTAGTAGCGGCTCCGGCCGTGGCTCTCCCAGCCACTCGACCGCTTATGCCCGATGATGATTATCTGAGGGCTGATGTAACCTTGAATTTCTTCGTTGTCCATTGTTTTTATGCAGTTCGAACCGATTGGCTGGCCTGGTATCTCATGCGCGATTGTGGCGTGAATCCCTGCTTTTGTATTGTGATTAACTTGTGGATTCATTTCGATGTTCAGTTTAGTGTGGTCATTCCTGTCCCACTGCTGATGATTCTTAGCTTGCAAATGTCGGTTTTTCTATGATGTTTGTGACCTGTCTTGATGGCTTAGTTTAGATTTCCAGCAATTGGATCTCTCTGTGACATTTTAGCAGCAGTCCTGTTCTTATGTTTTTCGTGATGCTTGATATTGAAACCTCTTGATATTGCTTTGCAGATATTGATGTTGCTGGTGTACTTCTCTGATGATCGATAGTTTGTGGCGAGACACCAGTTGCTTGATGCAGCTTAGCTCTGATTTAGTTTGATTGGCTTTTCTTGGATATTTGCAGATGCAGATTTGTTTCTTTGGATACTGCTGAATACTTTTCTGTCATGACAGATTTGTAGGACTTTTTCTTATGTCTTTTTGCGCATAAATCTGCCTCTTGATGCATTGTTTTGATGCGGTTCAGTCTGCATCTGGTGTTCTGTTTGCAATTTTGGCTTGCATTTCAATCCTCTGTTTGGGTTTCATGACCTCACCCACTGGTTCAGGATTAATACTGCTCATGAATTGTTTATGTTTTGGGTTCTGATGATGCTTGTGGCTTTTCAGGTGTTGGGAAATTTGAAACCAAAGGGGGCTCAGACCTGCCGGCATCCGGGTCTGAGTCAGAATTTGCCTATGTTGCCTTATTCTCGTATCAGTTTGGAAATCCAATCGTGGCAAAACGAATCAGTCCCACTTTATTTATTTTTCTATCTCTCGGATGTCCCTCATCGATAAGAACAGATATTACCTGATCTGACGCCCACGGCGCGGATCGGTAACGGGGGTAGGACGCAACTTCGGTTGTGCCACTCCCGGCACTCGATGATGACATTGTTCTGAGAGTGTCGAAAAAAAACTTCTAACATTTTTCTGTACTGTTTGCTTTCTTTTGATGTGCAGGTTAGCTGAGGATTCATGGAGAAGTTCAGATACAACATGAAGACCTTTAGATACTCTTAGGATTTAGGATAGACGCTTTAATGTAATCCCTTAGGATTGAGACTTTTAATGTACTTCCTTGTAACAGTACTTTGTAAAATATGAAGCAACATCCACATTCTTGTATGATAGCATTATTTATGAAATAAAGTTCTCAAAATTTTGAAATTATTTATATTTTATTCTTAGTTAAAAAATATAAACAAATGTGAATAAATCCACAAGTATTTAATTCATTAACATAGGCATAAAACATAAATATTCCCAAGTGGTATTCTTATTGGTACACTCGTCTCAATTGTAATCCTAATCTCATCATCTGATTTAAAAATGTTAACCAATCATTTCAATACCAAACACCTATGGGCACCGTAGTCACAACATTTTCATCATCAACAGTAACACTACTCGTAATTAAATTCCAACTGACCAAACCGCTAAAATCTCAATATGATCAGAACTGGTGATAGATAAATGCCTCAAAACCAATATGTATCAAATGCCTCAGAATTTTAATAACAGCCCGTCTTCAAGGAAATGGTAGAATTTGCGTAAAATGACCAAAATACCCCTGGGACCAAATCTGCAAAACAAAACCCCTTCATAACTTGTTAGTGGTTAGCAAATGTACATATGAGATGCTATGCGAAATGGCTGACTAAATATAAGGGTAAAATTTGGGGTATTACACCTCTGTTTTAGGATGGTCCTCATAATCCATGAGATGTGGGGTTTGATACTGACATTCATCAATCCCTCATGCTTCAAATAATAACTATGAACCCATTTTACCCGCAAGCTATCAGTTTTACTACTAAGATTCCAGAGCAGTTTAACCATGGTAATCTTATTCCATATCTTAAGATCAATGATACCCAGGCCTCCATGATTCAGAGGTCTACACACGTTGTCCCAAGAAATAGGGCTCTTTCTACTAATATCAGCTCCACCTGTCCATATGAAAGATCTACACATAGCTTCAATTTTATGAATAACAGTTCTAGGAATAGGAAAGCATTGCATCCAATAGTTCGCAATGGCAAAAGTAACACTTTTTATAAGCTGGGCACGCCCTGCATAACTTAGGAGTTTAGCACTCCAATGATTAACTCGACTCATAATCTTATCAATCAACGACATATAATGATGAATAGATAATTTATTAGAGGTTAGAGGGACCCCCAAATACCTGAAGGGGAAAGGACCCTCCCGGAAATTGGTAATGTTAATGATGTTCTGCTTTGTATCCGCATCCACCCCACCAAAATAAAATTTTCATTTTGTCGGGTTTAATTTGAGGCCAGTGGAATCAGAGAAACCGTTAAAAGCCTCCATAATCAGCTCCACCGACATACAATCTCCTCTAGAAAAAAGAAGTAAATCATCTGCAAAGGAGAGATTAGTAATATGTAACTTCTCACACTTAGCGTGATGGTTGAAATTGGGATTCTTCTGCATTTTACAAAAGCACCTGTTGAGATATTCCATTAGAATAACAAATAGTAGAGGGGAGATCGGGCCCCCTTGCCTGAGACCCCGCTTCACTTGGATAGTTTTTGTAGGATACCCGTTGATGCTGAATTTATAAGTAACAGAAGTGACAGTAATCATTATCCATCTACTAAATTAGGTTGGAATTCCAATTTCCTTCATAATACACTCCAGAGCATCCCAATTTACCATATCATAGGCTTTTTGAAGATCAATTTGAAGCATACACCGTGGGGTGCCTCCTTTCCTGGTATACCCCTTAATAAGTTCATACGCTAGCAGGATATGATTATGGATCTGTTGGCCCGACACAAATGCAGCTTGCGAATGGTGGACAATATCGTCAATAACTTTACCCAATCTTGTAGTAAGTATTTTTGAGATGATTTTATAGACAGTGGTACACCCTGCTATTGGCCTGTAGTCTTTAATGGATTGAGCGTCACAGTGTTTTGGAATAAGCGTCACCACAGTACCGTTAAATGCTTTAAATAGGCGTTCGTGGCAGAAAAAATGATGTACTGCATTTACCACATCAGATTTAATGGTTTCCCAGCTACCTTTGAAGAAACGGGCTCCGTAACCATCGATCCCCGGTGATTTCAAGTCCCAAATACCTTTAAGTGCTGTATGAATTTCCTGCTCTGTTATAGGTGCCAAGAGGGACCGTCGTTGTTCCATGTTCAGCTGCGGTCCATCTCTCATGGCGGCGACATCAATGTGACGAACTGTGTTGTCAGCAGTGCCTAACAAGTTCTTATAATACTCCAAGACTTCATCTTCAATATCAGCTTGCACTGTCAGTATTGTGCCATCTTCTTTGGTGAGTTGTGATATATTCTTAGAATTATTTTTGGCTTTTACAGATGCGTGGAAATACGAGTTGTTGCCGTCACCCCACTTTAGCCAATCAAGTTTTGATTTTTGTCTCAGTATATTTTCCTCTAGCTCTTGTAGTTTTAGAATCTCTACCTCCTGCTCCTTAATTCGAGTTAATATCGTAGCATTCATCGGGTCAGCCTCAAGGGAGGATTGCGCTGTGTTTAATTGATTTCTTGCTTGAATAAGCTGCTGGTCATTATGCCGAGTTGGTTTACTGAAATTACGCAGAGCCGGTTGTAATCGCATAAGCTTATTCCACAAGATAAACATTGGATTTCCTATGATTGGGACGTTCCAATTATTCTCTACCAGTGCACCATATCCTTCAAAATCCATAATACAATTGTAAAATCTGAAGATTGGTTTTCTATACCGTTTATGTACATTATCAGTACCTGTCACGAGTAATAGCGAGTGATCCGATACACTTGGAGGTAAGATATGGAGAGTAGTATCAGTATGCTTTTGGAGCCAATCAACATTAGCAAGCACATGATCAATGCGATAATAGATTGTACCTGCAGTGTGATTATTTGACCATGTATAGTAGCTTCCCTTACTTTCCTTCTCAAATAAGCCAACGTTTTCCATCATACTGCATATGTCGATATATTCCGTTTTCGTCACATCATTTCCACCAATCATGTCATTGTTATGGATAACATTGTTGAAGTCACCCATCAAAACCTAAGGGCCTTGCTGCTGTGCGTGAATGACAATAATATATTTCCATAATACGCGATGTTGCTCGAGACGATTCATGGCATAAACAACAGTAAACCAAAATAAAAAATTCCCAGCCATATCATGAACACCACAGTGGATGAATTGACTATAAGAAATAAAAATTTTTACATCAACTTCATTTGAATCCAAATATAACCATACCCTGCCATTAGCATGACGTTAGTAGTTGTCTGCATAGCTGCCCCGCAGCATGAGTTTATTCCGGACAGCAGCCACATTTTTCACTTTGACACGAGTTTCTAGTAACGCAATAATTTTTGGACGAAGTTCTAGGAGACGAGAGCGAATCTCTCTAAGCTTGCCCGTGTTCTTTAGCCCCCGTACATTCCACGCTGCTAGCATGGATCACCGTCGACCAACATTTTTGAGACATCCATATCCCCCAGCAGACCAAATCCATTGGTACAATTTAATAGAACTTTATCCTTTGGGGTGCCCTTGTGTTTATCCCTTCCACTTTTAGTACTTGTAGTCCAGTTCTCAAGATTAGCATTCTTCTGTATATATAGATTTGTGCCTTCAGCTGTTGGTGTACTACTAGGTTCAGCAGCAACCGTAGCTAGTGTCATCCGTTCTACATCATCAGTTCGTACATGTCCAGCCTTCTGTTTCTGTTTTGGTTGCCAGACTTTGACAGGTTTTGGAGCCTCACATATGTGACCAAACCGTTGACATTGCTCACAGAATTTTGGTTTCCACTCATATTCAATAGGTTGAACCAATTTAGCACCATTTCTATCATTAATAATGATTTCCTTCACCAAAGCTTGGGTAACATCCACTTCGACTAACAGTCTTGCATACGAGAATTGAAACTTATTTGCAGTACATTCGTCTGTTGTAACAGGTTTCCCAATTGCGCTACCAATCTTGCTGAGGCTCTTTTCCCCCCATAGGTGGAGCGGCAGATTAGGGAGTTTGATCCATATTGGTAATGCACGCAACATATCATTCTTCAGATTAAATCCGGGCTGCCATTCTCTTAATAACATGGGCATATTTCGAATTGTGTAGGGTCCTTTCAACATCACTTGATCCATATCTGTATGCGATTGAAATTTGAGGATGAAGTATCCTTCCTCATGGTAGTGTATATCAGGAAGTTTGATGAAATTCCACATTCTTTCCATAAAATTCTTCACTGTATTCATACTGAGATCCCCTCCCAGCACATACATGATCAAGGAATTTTCCCAAAATTTCAGTTCTGTTTCAACATGTCGCTTCCGCGAAAATAAGGTGCCGGCAAAACAGATGAGTCGCCACCTTTCATTATTTATCCCTCAGAGCGGGAAAGGAAACGATCGGAAAAACCTGACGAAAAGGTATAAGACAAGGTCGTCGCAACCATTGTCTGGGTTCGGGAGTCAGTTACGCAAGGGGAAGGTATTAGCACCCCTCACGTCCATCGTACTCGATGGGAACCACGCTTGTGGTGTTTACTGGACGAGTTGGTTTTATCTATCTACCTATCAAGGCTGGCTTAAAACAAAACAAAAGAAAAGAAAAAGAGGACTCGACAAAGCATCGCCCTTTATGCCTATGTATTCCCATCAGATAATGAGAAATCAGAGTCAACGTAGTTCGGCTAACTACGGGTTACGGGGAAGGTGGCTCGCCAATACATCAGTATTGTGCCTACGTACCCTCAACAGATATGAGAGATCAGAGCTTACGTAGTTCGGGATAATACGGATTACGGGAATTCAGATTCATCTGTTTTATCGAGTAGGGTTAACAAACAGTTCCAGCAGTTTGGCATACGCAGCTCGACCCTTGGAGACTTAGGCGTTACCGTTTGCAGTAGAACTGGGAGTTAACGACACTCTTTTCGTTAGAAAAGCTTTCCTTTGAATTATGGGCCCACGGGGCAAAAAGGTTTGAAGTTTGTTTTCTGTATTTTACGGAAGAACTGTTTTTTATGGTTGTTTGCAACTAGTATCGCACTAGAGACTATGACCTGAGAGTGAATGCGTCGCATGTCACCCAAGGGGTGCCATACTAAACATCCAGACTGTTGAAAAGAAACTCTCCAACAATCCTTTCTCAGATAGCTTAAGGCTCGTAACGTACGACGTCAGTTAACCTTTATTACTGTATTTTAATTTGTTTTGAGATGAGAAGAGAGAACGAGCTCAACTAAGGGGAGACTATCAAGTCCTAATGTTGTCATGCCAAGGATTCATCCTATGGTTGAGGTTTGAAACAGGGAACTCCTAGAAGTTATCATGCATAGGTTTCAACCTAAAGTTCTAATCATCACTTCCTTATCTAAGGAAGTGAGATTCCTAGGGAATCATGTCAATGATAAGCAGAAACAGATAAAGCATCAGCTAAAACAGTAAACAGTAAACGACTGTAAAATGCATGCAATGCAAGTGAGGGAGGAAATGTGTGTGGGGCATCAGCCTCCACAAACTCATCTCAACCTTAAGCCAGATATGAATAACTGCAATCATACAGGAAATAACATGCTATCAAGCAAAATACAATAACTGCAATCATACAGAAGAAAATAACATGCTATCAAGCAAACACAAACCACATAGGCAAGGGAGCAGGGCTCTACCGAATACCCGCAAGCAAAGCCATACAGTAAAAATACAAGCAGAGGGAGCAACTCAACCTCTAGTGCAATCATGCTCCTAGCTTAAGTCAGTCAAGATATGGACTTATTCTAATGCATCAAGCAAATCAAACAAGTCACAACAATACAGGAAAGAAATCAGATCAACAGCTTCCACAGCTTCAAGCTTCAGCTCTTCAGCAATTCAGTCTTCAGACCTCACCTACCCTTCAAGGCTATCATCTTCAATAGCAAGTATCAACTTGCTTCTCCAAGTTCTCAATACACTAAACATAAGTATTAACTTATTCCTTCTCTAAGCTTCAGCTCTTCAGTCAATTCCACCTTCAGGCTTCACTCCTAACTGCAAGTATCAACTTGTTTCTTCAGGCTCTCAATGCATCAACATAAGTATCAACTTATCCTTTATTCTTCAAGCCTTAACTTTTCACTCAATCTCAATTTGATCTTCTTCACAAGTGTCAACTTGGTTTTCAAGCTTCAGCTTTCTCCTCTTTACAAGTATCAACTTATTCTCCTTGATCTACAAGCTTCAGCTTCTCAGAGTAATATTCAAACACAAAGAAGTATCAACTTCATCCCTCAATCTTCTTCAAGCAGGGAACTCCATCCTCTAACAAGGGAGAAATATGCATCCATCAAGAGAAAAGTTTGGATAATAGACAGCAGAGTGAAGACCAAAGGTCACCACTAAGCATCCTATCATCAGAGAAAGGGACCCTCAAAGGTTCTACCAACTTGTAAAGATCCACACATCCTACCAAAGGAGGGATGAGGCCTTTGCAAGGGTATCTTACATCATAGGGAAGAATGGAAGTGATCAACATCATCCATGTTTATGAAGAAAGAGAATCTATCTTAAAGCTCTGCCTACAAACACAAATCTTAACCTAATCAACACTACACCAAAAGAAGGGTAGATCCTCACATCCAAGCCTCTTCAAGCAATCCATTGCATCTTAAACTTGTCTTCATCATCATCCAAGAACAAGAGAGACAAAACCCTAATCTAAGGTAACTAAAGAAGTTAATCTAGTTGAATTAGTGCATTAGAATCATCTAAAACTAGCAGCTAAGCAAAAATCAACCAAAAATAGAAAACTACCTTGTAAATTCCTACAAAAATTCTTAAGGGATCCCAATTCAATCATGAATCTACCATACAAAACTCAGAGGTTGAATCATCCACCTAGTTACACAAACAAGATCTAAACCACAAGGCATCAACCATAAACCCTAAAAATGGAGCATCTAAAGGTTTCAACCTAAACTACCACTTATATTCATCACAAAAATGTGAGAAAAATCTATGGGGAGCATGCATATCTATTATAACTACTCACAAAAATTCAAGGCCAAAATCATCATCACATGATCAAACCAAATTCCACAAAATCAAGCATCAAACATGATTATTTTAATATCAATTAAAATGTAAAAATTCCCATAAAATCAGAAAATGCATGAAATAATAATATTTTTTATCTAAAAAATACTAGATCCTATCATGAATCCAATGCAAAAAGAATGGGATTAATTGAATCATTTTTCCATTTTTTATGAATTAATAAATAACCATGAATAAAATGAAAAATAATATGAAAATCCAAATAAAATGAGAAGCGCATGGTGCAGATAGCAATAGAATCCAGTTATTTTCCCAGACTGGGCCACAAAGGGGGTGTGGGTAGCAGTTAATAGCCTAAGCCCAAAATCAGCAAACAAATGAAACACTGCGTTTCATTTAGTTCAGAGTCCTTCACAAAATTAGAAGCACGCGTGGCCGTTGGATGGAGTCTTTGGTCCAAGTCAAACCACAATCTGATGGCTATCAAGTCATCTTCCTCAATTCAAACCTCTGAAACTCAGGCCACCTGCGCGCCCAAAGCCACCGCCGGTGACATCTCTGGTCGTCATCTCACAACCCTAACTTGCCATAGAATCCACCATAGGCCACGATTCCTTGATCAAACTTGTCCCAAATTTCATAAGGAACTCACTCATACCATTAATTCACTCTGAAACCTCAAGATTTGCAAGAACCACTTCTCACCCGAAAATGGTAACATCCCTAATTGGTCACTAACTCTCAAATTATTGATCTGAAAACCTTCCTACATCAATCCTCAATGCATCTAACATCCTAATTCCTCTTAATTCTAACTAATTCAAGTTGGGGATGGAAAGTTACTAACCTGGAAATTTCGTGTGCACAGAAGTAGCTAGCCTTCAAATCAAGCCCTCAAATGCTCCAAACTCCTTCAGTGAATCACTTCCAAGCTTCTGTATGCAATATAATTGATTGAAACAACTTCAATCCCTGGAACCAACTCTGAGTTGCAGGTGGAAAAAACTGAGTTCAAGAACACCAATCAGCCACGAATTTCTCTTGATTATGATCTGGAATCATTCCCTAGCATCCATGGAAGAGATTACAATCAAGAAAATGGATGGAAAGTGAAGAAATTGTTGTAACCGAATTTAGTTGTAAACAAGAAAGTTTCAATCTCAATCTCTACTCTCTCCTTCAATCATCACCAACCTTGGCCTTGGATCACCTCTACTCAATATATAGACCATGTATGGATGATCTAGAAACCTCTAGATCCTTCTAATGAGAAATTCAATCTCTCATGCCATGAGAAGTTCAATCACATGCCATGGTATGCACCATCCTGTTAGCAGCTTGAAATCACCCTCATTCCCTTCCAATTTCTCCCCTCATGACATTTTGGAAGTGTTTGGATTGAAAGAAGCCTTGATCATGCCTTGAATTTAGGTTTGGCAAATGTTACTTAAGATGTAAGTAACTACTTTTCAAAGCAAGTCCACAAATTAAACTTCAATTCAAAATTGTGGCTGAACCAATGTTCTTAAAATGTGTTTTAGAATCAAAATGACATATTACATGCCTTGGTTTGGACATGTAGATCAAAAATACCAATTTCCATCTTTGGTTCATTTGAAAATCCTCCTTATTTTAGGTCATTTTTGCAACTTTGAGCCACAAGCAATTCCAACATCTCATGACCTCTTGAATAGCCTTAAAACATCATTTTGAACAAGTTTTATGTTGAACATTTTCCCATTTGAAGCTTGGAAATAGGAGTTATGGCCTTATGCTTGAAATGAACTATAATCTCCAAATGACCAAAATGCCCTTGACTTGTCAAAGCCATAACTTGAGTTCTACAAATCCTATCAAGGACTTCTAGTACTCTCTAGACATCTAAGAGGATAAGGAACAACATTAATGTTTACCAAAAGTTCATAGGAATCATCCTTCTAGGACAAAAGTCTCATGCAAGTTGGACAACTTTCAAGCTCCCCATTCACATACCTCAGATGACCTGTAACTTGTCAAAGTCATAACTTGAGTTCTACAAATCCTATCAAGGTCTTCTAGCACTTAAATTAAAGCTAAAATCATGCTCTATAACATTCATGTTGGGG